TGTTTCCGATGAGGCTAGGGGCAGCCATCCAATAGCTTCAGGATTAAGACTTTGTCTTTGTGTTCACCCAGTTAGACAAAAAGCCATTTCCAGCTAAGCAGGACTCAATTCCCTTCTCTTCCTCAACATCGTCAACAATTCACTTTCCTTTCCATCTCATATGTTCAGTCTTCCTAAGGCAATGTGTCCTTAATATATGTGAAAACTACCCATTTTCTCTTCCTTCAGCAGATGCTAATTTATCTTTTCAGAACATTTTGTCTTCCATAAAGTATAGGAATACATTCAACCAAGTAGGCTTCTCAAGCGCTGCCAAAGCCTCCAAAAACCTGGTTCTGTGCCAGCCTCAACCTCCTTGGTCACTTCACTCAGAGGAGATAAGTGGCCCTCAGCCACACAGGAGGAATTCTGCCAGCAGATGGTCTTCAGCATGGATATGCAACTTCAGCAGCTATTCTCTGGTCTCCAATAGGACCACCTTTAGATTTGAACCACAACACCCGTCCTTCTCATAGTCTTCAGCCTGCTGTTCTGCCCTGCAGATCTTGAGACTTTCCAGCCACTATAATCATGTGAGACAAGTCCATAAAATGAATCAAGCTAGATGAATGGATGGATGGATGGATGGATACCTACATGCATATACACATCTTAATTGATTCTCTTCCTCTGGAGAAATTCTTATTTGTATAATCATACTTACAATGTCATTGCAAGTTTAGATGGTGATTTTTGGTGGGGTTGGAGGGGAAGAGTCTTGATAGGTATCCTAGGTTGGCCTCAAACTTGGGATGCTTTTGCCTCAGTCATCCAAGTGCTGGAATCTACAGGTATGCACTGCCATGCCCTACTTAATTGGTGATTTAATCGACTTCCCTGCTTGTTATTTCCAACCATGCTTAGGAGAGACTCTAGATACCCTGTGAGCATTTTGGCTGGCTCTTGTTACGTCCTTCGGAGTCTTTTCTCACTGTATAGTCCTCACTGTGTCTAAGTATAGCAGACCACACTGCTCACTGTAGGTGGCACCTTGATGGTTCTTCAGGCCTAAGCTATTATTACTTCCTCTCATTGCCTGCCTACAGAAACTTATCAAAAATAGTCTGTTTGAAGTTTGTGGAAAATGCCTTCTCTCTCCATCAAAGTGGGAAGGAGGAGTCTCATGGCTCTTGCTTCTGCAATCCACCTTGTGACCATGAGGGAAGTCAGGCTGAAGAAGAGGAAGGACCAAGAGAAGTAGGGAAAAAGGGGGTTGTGTAAACTAGACCCCAACCTAACCCCACTTCCACCATGCTTGTTTATATAAATCACTGACTGCTCATTCTTCACACTGGGTTTCTCAGGGTCATCTTATCTAATGTCTGTCAGCCTTATTGCCACTGGTGAGTGGGTTTGACTGTGAACTTGATGCCTCCGTTGTGGTTTCTGCTTTGTGTCCCGAGCATTGCTGTGTTTTCTGAGCCCCAGCGTTTGCAGAATTCTTATGGGGACTTTGCTTGGTCCTTCCAACTTAAGGCTTCCCTGTTCATTTTACATTCTTATTTGTCACCAGAATTGGAGCACTGTCCAACACACCAACCCCTTGGCAGAGGTTTTGAGAGTCTGAACAATCCTATTAAACAAGAGTGCAGAGTCTTTCCACACACCCGTCCAGCCTCTGTGGGGGTACTATCATCTACCTGGTAATCCGTGGAAGGAGGACTCTTGCAATGGAGATGCTGCTTGGTCAGATTGTTTTTTCCACTTTCTGAAAAAAATGGCTTACCATGCTCAAAGGCCAAGTTTACCACCTAATTCTCTTCAGTCCCACACTTAACATTTTGACTCTTCCACTGTTAGCCAACAGTGGTCTATACTATATAAGACATTATGTAAATGCAGACACTTGAGATGGAAATGAAGATTGGTCAGCAGAAAGCCAGCTCTGCTTCACCCTTTACCAGAAACACTCGCGTTCACTAACAATCCAGTCTTTTTTCTAGACTGTGGGTCACCCTTCCAGGCTTTATCTCTGAAGCCAGTGTTCTTCCCTATCATCCTTCATATTGCTTTCTGTATTCCTGGATCCCAAGTACAAGCAGAGTTCAAGGTCATTTCAAAAGATTGTCAGCCCCAATGTATCAGGGATATGACTGGATTTCTTATTAACCTACAGGAAATACATAGTTAAGCCCCAATGTATCAGGGATATGATTGGATTTCTTATTAGCCTACAGGAAACACATAGTTAAGTGTCTCTATTTTTTCTACCTATTAGGCAGTCACTAGGAGCCCAACATGAGATTAGAAGCCTGTTCCAAGGTTAAGTTCAAAAGTCTTGCTGCACAGAAGTTACTGACCACGCCCTATGCCTAGAATAGAATTGGTTTCTCTCTACTGTGTTCTCACCAGAGTTGCTACAAACTTCTAGTGCAAGATTAATAAAGTTGAATAGCTTTTAATTTACAAATCTCTTTCTTTCTGTCTTCTCTCTTCTATGTTGCATTAAAACACTGCGGGAGGGAGAGTCTAAATAATACATATAACTAATGTTCATCTGTCTGCTTGTTAAGCATAGGACAGTCTTTATATGCATCTCATTTAACCCTCAAAGGATTATTCTACCTCCATTTTACATAAAGACCTTAAGTAATTTACCCAAGACCACATAACTGCACCATGATAAAAGGCGTATTCAATTTATATGATCCACCTTTGTGGACCCTCAGCTTTGTTGACAGTTTCACAAAATGTTGCTAACCACAACTGGGGATAGCACAATGGGATACCAGAGCCAAAGAAATGAAAACAAAGAGGAAATAGAGGGATCAGGGATCGGGGGTCCAAGGTTCACAGGGAGCCCGAGGTCCCATAAGCAAGCCTATTTATTTACTTCAGTGCAGAGAAGGTTGCTATAGGTAGATGCAGAAATAACAAGGTATCAATCTATCTTGTGGCTATAATCATTAATATGAGCATAGTTTGTGTACCTCGTAATAACTGACTCCCTTTTGTTAGGGAAGAGAAGGAAGTAGTGGACATTTTTGAAATCCATAACTGTAAAATAAAGCATTCATCTTACTCCCAATGTCTCAAGCTTCATACAACTTCAAACCACTGTGACTCAGACTTCATCCAGTGAACAGTAACTTACACACTTATTTTGCCTTGCCTATTTTGACCTTTCCAGGGTCCAGTTCTCAGCCTTCTGAGTACTGACCAGGTGGTATTCTAACCTCTTAACCTTTTCCTGCTCTCACATCTCAGCCTTAGAGTTGTCTATATCTGATGGAGAAAGACTGTTACTCACTCCTAACCAATATAAATTCATGTTCTCAGGCACTAAGTTTCCATGTGAGCAAAGTAAACTGTAATCAACAGAATTGGGGGTAATAAGACATTATTTGTTTAATTTTCATTTGATTGCTAATCTTTAAAATCCTAGGATAATTATTAATTCAATTTATCTTAATGCCTTCTTATAAGTCTAAATTTTTTTAGTACATACACGTATTGCAACTCAAAGGTATAGGAAGCAGAGATGTCTCTTTTCACCCATTCTTTTTTTTTTTTTCTTTTCCCTCCCGCGCCCCGCCCCTCTCCACCTCTCTCTTTTCACCCATTCTTTAGGTTCATGGTGAAGGCATCTACAATAAAAGGCAGGTTAGTCAGAGACAAGGGTACACATTATTCAATAAGTAAGTTTTATGTGGCACAGAGCCTTCCTGAGGAAAGGAACACCCACAGGAAAAGGGAATTCTAAAACTTTACATGTTAAGTTTGAGGAAGATAGAGATGGAAGTACAACTGTCAGCCTGCCTGGAATCTACTAGCAATAAACTAAGCTTAGCAAGACCTGTCATTCAAATTCTGCTCTGTGTACCTGTGTGTTCAAGTATGAGGACATTCCTTAACTCCAGACAGTAGGAAGAGACTTCTGAAGTGAATGTATTATTATTTGTTTCCGAGGAAAGTCAGAGACTCATCTCGTGGTTTACTTGGAGAGAGAAAGGCAGGAGGTCAGAGAGTTCTTTCTGCTTCTACTGTTTCCTTAAGTGTCAAAGTAACATACGTTGGGATAGATCCTAAACACTATCAGGGGCCAATGCCTACAATCAGAACCAAAGAGGGCCTAGTACATCCTTGTACATCCTTGTGCATGCTTGTAATCTCAGCTATTCAAGAGATGCAGCTAGAAGGATAACAGTTTGAGGCCAGCCTGAACAAAATGATAATGAGATCCTATCTCAAACACAAGCCAGGAGGTGCCTCACACCTAATTACTCAGGAGGCTGAGGATCATGATTTAAATCCAGCTTGGGCAGGAAAATCTGTGAGACTCATTCCCAATTAACCACTATAAAACTGGAAGTCGTGTTGTGGCTCAAAGTGGTACAGCACTAGCAAGCCTTGAGCAAAAGAGCTCAGGGGCAGCACCCAGGCACTGAGTTCAAGCCCCATGACCAACAAACAAAAACACAAAGACAAACAGCCAGGTATGGTGGCCCAAGGTGGGTATGATAGTGCATGCCTGTGGTCTGTGCTATTAGGAGGCAGAGATATAGGAAGATCATGGTCTGAGGCAAGACTCCATTTGAAAAATCTGAGACCATATCTGAAAAACAAACTTAGAAAAGCAAACAGATTGGATGTAGGTCAAGTGGAGCAGGCTTGGCAAAGGCAAGGCCCTGAGTTCTCGGTATGACTCCCCAAAACAAAAAACACACAAAAATGAACCCAGAATGTAATGTAGGCTAAGAGGGGTGCAAGTCTGTGACTCAGTTTGGAATTATGGATCACAGAGATAATCCTTTATTTTTTTAAGCACAACTAAGGTTTTTGAGCAAATTTGTTGGAGACTTGGGAATTTGAACTAAAAGAGCAAGGCTAGAAGTCAAGAATGATTATGAATGAGAATTCAGAAAAATTTAGCTCCCCAAAGGTATATTTTCACATCAAGGAGGCATGAATTCTCAAATCTGTAGAGTCATCTCCTGAATGTAAGGTTAGAGGCTTTGGTCTTATGATTCCCACAGAGAAATTTATTTATATTCCACACACTGGCAACACATTCTTTGTACTCCTAAGGAGACTTTGTTTATGGGAGGGGACAAAACATTTTTCTTCATGTCTCAGCAGGAGCAAGGCCTCTTGTCTACGATGTAAATGCACAGATTCATTTTGCTGGGTGTTCTTGCCTGCAGAAGACACCAAGACACATACAATGATATCTGGTTCTCATTATACCATCTCTAAGTTAAGAACTGGATATTTGCCATAAATAACAATCATCCCACTTGCTTTAGAAGCTCAGTATTGGCATTCAAAGTAATAGTAATAAGAACAGGCATTAAACACCTAATAGCAATTCATGACTTGCCTAATACCAAAGGAAATAAAATTGTTTGTTGGCCAAACACAACATGTCGTTTAGCTAAACCAAGTCACCAGTCTGCTAGTTTGTGGTAACTAGTGTGTAAGCTATGCTTGGCCTTTGGAAAAATGACTTATTATGACGTGATTTGACAGGCTCCCATAAAACCTCTTTGCCCAAGGTAAAATATAGCATTTCCTACTTTTCTATCCAGACCTCCAACATTATTATTGGGAATCTATTCTTTTGCTAGTTAAGTACTGTCACTGTCTCAAATTATATCTTTGGAGTGTTAATTCCCAAATGATTATCAAATACAGCAATAAGTTAACTTGTTTAACCATCATTACTCGGGACCACCTATGCATATCTGCTGACAGAACACAGAATTGTTTTGCCTAAATGTTGACAAAAATCAGAGTAGAGCCAGCAGTAGTGGTGCCCCCCCTCTAGTCCCAGCACACAGGAGCAGAGGTAGGAATATCAGAAAGTCGAGGCCAGCCTAAGCTACTCCATAGTGAGACCCTGTATCAAATCAAACAAACACAAAAAGTTCAGAGTGGAAAGAACTAAGCTGAACCCTTGCAAATGGGAAGTTCTAGATATTCTTTTTTTTTTTTTTGGGTCCGGTCGTGGGGCCTGAACTCTGGGCCTGGGCGCTGTCCCTCAGCTCTTCAGCTCAAGGCTCTACCACTTGAGCCACAGCGCCACTCTGGCTTTTTTCTTTTTGCTTATGTGGTGCTGAGGAATCGAACCCAGGGCCTCAGGCATGCAAGGCAAGCGCTCTACCACTGAGCCACCTTCCTAGCCCCGTTCTAGATATTCTTAAAATAGGAGGGTTTTGGGTGTCCAGAAGCAGAGAAAGGGCATGGGCCACTAGAACGGTGACTTCCCTTTCTGGTATGTAATCTGGAGAGGAAGACACACTCAAAGAGAAAGTAATCAGGCATGGAGACATACTTGGCACACTTCTTCAGGGTGCTCAGATCTTCCTAACATTTATTTTCTCAGTCTAGGGTTGAGTGTGATGTTGAGAAATCAGAATAAGGAAGCTATCGTTTTTTGAGACAGACCACACACAAAGTTAGTGGGCTCCTGTAGTTGCCAGTCACAGAGATATTCTGATAGATTTTACTGACAAGGGATGTGGTAAAAATGTATAGCAAAGTCAGAGAAGAAAAGGCACCAATGTGCTTGTCCCCAGAGTCCCCAGGGACCCCAGATGGGGGAGGGAGTCCTGCTCAGTTCCACCAAACTCCAGTCACTACTGCAGCTGCAAGACCTCGCCAGGCCCTATCCGCACCCCTTGGCAAGACTATTCTAGTTTCTAGCTTCTCTGCTTGAGTGGGTGGCCTCTTCTTTTCTACCTTCTCCCCCAGCCATTCTCTTCTCCACTGTGGTTTCTATTTTAGCTCTCTGAATGAGGACTTAGGGTCATCTACTACTAAGTGTGAGAAAAATGTCAGTACAATTAACAGAAAATCCAATTGACAGTAGTTCAAATGAATCGGGTCTGGTTTATTTCTCCCATAGGAAGAGACCACAGGCACTGACACTGGTTCTGTAGCTCAAGGCTGATATTGCTGACTCAAGCTTAACCTTCCAATTCTTCCAATTTTATGTATCAGCTTGTGGCTGCAAGATGGCCACTGCAGAGTTAGAATTACTGTGTCTACATTCAAAGTAGGAAATAGGAAAAAGGTCAAGACCTGCAAGGCCTCCTAAAGCATCTGTTCATTGTATGTGATGAAAGATTTCTCCCGTAAGTGCTTCAAACCCCCGTCTACACACACATAACTTTTGTTTCTGCAGCATTAATCAAAACTATATCATATGAACACACTTAGCTGTCACAAAGGTTGGAACAGTAACATCTAGCCTCTTTAGTGAGAAAACAGTGAGAGAGAAGGTGAGAAAAGGTGTTGGCAGTCCACAGTGAACCATGTCTGCCATTGTGCCATGCAGCATGTGCCATCTACCCTAGGCAGAGCTGTATCCTAGGACTTCTCTGTATTGAGACAATTGTCACTAAGCCAACGCTTTGTCAGACATCATCAGGTGTCAGCATGGCAGCTAAGAAGAATGAATAAACTCTCCCCAGGGACCCAATTATAGCTTAATCAATCATGCATTTAGCTCTACTTGCTTCCATTCCACCTCTCTTTATGAGCTTATTCTGTTCATTCATATGTTTATCAGGAAAATATTAATGAGAATGGCACACACTTGTCTGAGTAGAGGGCAGAAAACACAAACTTTATTTTCTAGCAAGTGAAATAAATATTACTGTGTCTATGTCCAGATACATGTATTTACATGTGTGTATATATATATATATATATATATATATATATCTGTATATGCATAAAAATCTCAGATCAGGTCCCTTTCATGCCCTTACTGCTGTCCTCAGCAAGGATTAGATGATCAGTAATTACTTGTACAAAACATATTATACATGCACAAATACCACCCCCCCCACACAATACACATTCCATGAAATCCAGATGGTAATAAGAGCTACAACAAAAGTAGAGCATTGGCTATAATTTATAGAATGATCAAGAGAATGCAGAACTACATGTTTCCACTGAAAAAATTTCAAAGTGTCTCCTCGAAAGGGAAGCTGGCTGACCTTCTGCTCTGGAGAACAGGGGAAGGAAATGCATGGTGCCAGAGCCCAAACAGTGTGGGCCACATGTTCAGTTCTCACCGATCCCATTGTATTTTTCATTTCTTCATTTATTTTTATTTGGCCTGTTCATTCCCCTAAGCCATATTGAGTGTGGCTTTCAAAATATGATCCTGAGCAGCATTTCCGTGAGTATTTGGCTTTGGAATGACCACACAAATTTGTTTTCATAGTTTTAAAAACTCACCAAAGGCTATCATGAGACCAACATGTACTTGGATATTGTCCAGCCATCAGATATGGGAAATCTATTGAGAAAGCAAGCACATTGCATATTTGCTTCCACAATAGATGCTGTGATTGTTAAACTTTGCCCAAATTATATTTTTTCAAAATTTTTATTAAGTGGTTACATAATTTCCCAAATTTCACAGTATTGTGGGATAGTGAAGCTTAAAGTCACAAACACGTTCTAACTTCCATAGGACAAATTGTCTATCATGGTCTATAACATTTATGAGTTCTATGAGCTTTGCAATACAGTTATTTCTTCCACCTTGGGTGATGTGTACATTTCTTTTGTTTTGCATAGCATCAGCTGTTCCCTCTTTCCCACTTGCTCCCTCCCTCCCATCCCTGCCATTGAGTTGCTTAGTTAGTTCATTTTGGTCAATGTCCAGTGCAGTTGATGGGTCCTGCTGTTGTATGTTTTTCCCTGATTCCCTCTAATTCTGTGTCGGCCTCCTGGTTTCCCTCCAGTGTGCACATATATACCATACACAGATCAGCAGTATGTGCCCAAATTATTCTTTAGGAATAGAAGACAGAATCCTATCCTTACCTGTAAGTAGGAGTGCTGTTAATAGACACTCTCAATTGTCAGCTTTCTTTGGGAAAACGCTTCAGCTGAAGTCATAGGAACCCAAAATCACATCCATTCAGCACTGGAGCTTGTGGGCTAACCCCTTACTCCCATTCAGGACACTGCCACAAGGCCATCCTAGCTTAGAGCTCCCATTGCATTTGTTGAAATGAAGCCTTTGTTGGCATGGCATCACAGAGAACTTGTTCCTGTCCTTACTTTTCATGGGGTTTTAATCTCAACAGAGATTAAAAAAGTTGCTGGGCAACTTAATCTTCACTCCAGATTATACTGCAAATATTATGATCAGTTCTAGACCCCTAAGGTCAGTTATTTATCCTTGCAACTCTGCAATGGCTAGAAGGTGCATCTATAGGTAGACATCATTAAAAAAATCAAAGGAAATAGTCCTCCTTCAACTAAATAACGTCTTCCTACTCAAAGTAGGTGTCAATGCACCCAAGCCAAGGGCACTGGCTCTTCTTGAATGTTTTGTCAGAGGAAGGCAGCATGTCAAACCACCTTGAATCAGAGGTACTGAATCGGAATCTGATTTTTCAGAAGATCCCCAGGGTTCCCATGGACAGTAAAGTTTGCTAAGTATTGAGCTAAGAGATTTAGTAATATCAATTAGATTATCTAGCTGATAATTCTTTTTATTTGTACAGGATGCCTTTACAGGATGCTTTTTCTATGTAAAAGCTGGTTTGGAAATACTGGAATAGTACATTCTTTCATTCAACAAATACTAATTGATCGCCAGCAAAGATTTCAGCACCATGGGGTTTACATTCCAGAATAGAAAGAAAACAAAATCAATCTGTGTGTGAGAGTATTAGAGTGAGAGTAGGTTGTAAAAAGCACCATGAAGAAATACTATGATAATACAGTCTGGTCAAGAGGATGGGAGACTAGCTTGCAATTTCAATGTTTTGCAAATGACCATACGTTAGGCAGAGAATTGAAGCAAGTGAGGTAGCCACAGGCCTATTTGGACACCATGGTAAAGACAAGAAGACCAAAGTGGCTGGAGTGGAATGGGAGAAATGCAGCCTCATAATAGTTGTGGTCAGAGAGGCGAGACAGCAGATCTTAATGAGCGGCTGCTGGATGGATCGTGTCTGGACATTTCCTTGTTACAAAGCTTTCTCCCGGCCCAAGTCCATTCGATTCTGGGCCTGGGTGTGTGCTCAAACCACGATCACTAGCAGAGTCTCAGCCCGGGCAAGACTGGCCTTCCAGAGAGGGTTCTGAAGCCTCAGGCTCCAGGACGCCCAGAAGGCTGGGCTACGTGTCTGGGCGTGGACGAGGGCCAGGCTTTGCCACCTTAGGGCACAAACAGGAAGAGGAATTGCGGAACGAGGTGCCAGGCTGAAAGAAAGTAACCTTTGGAGCCAAGTTCCTCTCACAGCCAGTACCCTGGATCTTGAAAAACTGTACTTATTCACTTGAACCCCTTCCTCCAGCCCCCCGGGCCCCGCCGCACTACCTCGGCCTAAATCCAGTCTCCAGGTTTCCAGCTGCTCTGGGAGTCCCTGTCACGATCCCACCCAGACCCACGGGCCCACCCACACCCCGCCTCGCCATCCTAGCCCCGCCTTCCCCGCTCCACAAGCCCCGCCCCTCCCAATCTCGTCCACTCCAGGTCTTCCAGTCAGGCTATTGATCCCGCCCCCACAATGGCCACACCCTCAGGGGTGGGGCTCAGCTTTTACAACCCCGCCCCGCCCGGCCGCCCAAGCTCGGCCTCCCTCAGGCGTGGTAGTCGGGAAGAGTGGGCGGACGTGACGCGGAGTGGAGGCCGCGGGGCCCGTGCCGCGAGTCGCCCTTTGTGGCTCCGGGCTGGACCCATAGGTTATCGGTGGTATCATGACTCCCCTCGTCGTTTTCCTGCTTCTGGTGGTGCAAGCCGGGAGCGGGGCTACGAGGAGCCTAGAGGATCCCGAGCTGCCCTCCGGTAGGGTGTCGCGGCTGGGTGGGGGTGGAGACGGGGACGGGCACGGGGGCGGGAGGAGGCCGGGAGTCGCCTGGGCCGGGAAGCCCCGCCTGGCCCGGCCGTTGTCCCCGCGTCTCCCCGGCGGTGCTCACCTTGGATCCCGCACCTGCACCGCGCGGCTGCGGGGCGGCTGCGGGGGGCGGCGCAGGCGCACGAGGGGCCCGCGCGGCCCTACGGGGCTCTCCGAGTGTGTTTTTCCATGCGTTCCTCGGCGCGCCGTGGACGCCCTGGCCCCAGCTGTGGCCTGGAGACGCTCCTCGGGGCGCTGTGTTGCCAGGCCTCGGTTCGCCGGAGTTGCTCTGCGACTCTCTAGATGGTGGCCTTGGGACCCCCGGGTCGCCTCTCAGGGCGTAGCACTTTGTTTCCATCTGCTTATTGACTTTTCCTAGCAAACACAGGCCGAAGATCGTTTCTCTGAAGTGGAGGGTAACGGTGATTAGGAGGAGGGAAAGCAGTAGACTTGAGTTCCTCTGTAGCCTTCGCTGGAAGGCCGGTGAGGCCCCACCTGCCTAACTCCCGGCGACCCCCGCTGGGCCTCCAACCTAGGACTTCTTCCTAGAGTCCCTGGGGGGCGCGCGCCTGTCACACGCAGCCCTCCTTCTGAAGTCCTGCGAAGCAATACTTAGTCATTCCTGAGGCAGAGGTGGTTACAGGATGGGAGAAGACAGTTGTGGTTGATGATCTCTGCTTTCAAGGATCTTCACACTAGCTAACAGCTGCTGCGGGGCACATCTCATTTCACAGTCATCTGTGAAGTCTGTGCTGGTGGTCTCCATGTATTGATGAGAAAGGGGTACAACTGATCAAGGGCTCCTTGCTACTTGTGGGAAGCTGTTGTGGTTTGGCTCCATAGTCCAAGTTCTTATCCAGCCTATCAGTTGGCATTCTATCTAGGGCCATATAGCACAGCTGTGATGAAGAGTCTGGACTTGTGCACCAGGTACAAGGAGACACAATATATATGTCTGACTCTCCAAGGGAGTCTGGGAAGGCTTCACGGAGGTGGCTCTGGCCTTCTTATCAGAGGTGCAGAAGAGACTTGAGTGTACAGAGGTGTGAGAAACAGTGTTGAACTCATGGGATAAAAAGTGTTTCATCATTTGCCTGTGCTCCAGTGCCTCATGCCTGGAATCCTAGCTACTCAGGAGGCTGAGCTCTGAGGATTGCCGTTCAAAGCCAGCCCGGACAGGAAAGACTGTGAGACTCTCATCTCCAATAAACGACCAGAAAACTGGAAGTGGCACTGTGGCTCAAGTGGTAGAGCACTAGTCTTAAACTGAGGACCCAGAGGAGTTTATTGGCTCAGAAAACTCAAGTAAAAGTTGAAGAGAATGTTAAAGATGCCAACTGGGTCGTAGGGAGCTAGAAGCAGGAAGGCAAACAGCTAGATTTCACCATTTCATATTTCTGTTGGTCTGAGTATTGACAGCTTTCCCTGCTTGGCAGGAATTATAGCTGTTGATAGCTTTAGGGTCTTAAAACCTTGCAACTTCTTTCAGCCTAACAAAATCTCAGGGCAAGGCTCCGACTTACCCAGCTTGGATACTGCCAGCTGTGTGTATGTTGAGGAGGCAGGGTTAGGAGAAGACACACTTTTGATGGGTCAGGGTGGAGGAGTTCCCAGAACAAGAGGCAAGGTGCTCTTGAAAGAAGTAAAGGTACAAGCCAACAAAACTGAGGTGGCTGATCCTGGCTGAAGTCAAGGGGCAGCCACCTTCCTTCCCCTTACAGAGGGGAATGACTTTATGCAAGATGAACTAGAGCTAGGTAGAAAGGCCAGTCATCTTATAGAATACTGTGAGGGTATATGCAATGGCATGGGGCCCATTAGAAGGTTGTGCTGAAGTCATGAGATGTGGTCATGTCATCGGAGACAGGAGGACCATTTGATGAGGGGACATTTAGGACTGTGCCTGGATGTGGGAGGAAAGAAAAAAAAATGACTCAGGTTCCTGGAACAGAGAGTTAAACCAGTACCATGCTCTTCCTTCTGGTTGCAGGTTCCTCCAGAGTGTGATGTTCCTTGTAACCACAAAGTTTACGTGTCTTCAAACCTGTCCTATCAGCGGCCATGCCTGCTGGCTACTACAGGAGGATCTATGGCTTTGGAGATGCTAGCATTTTATAAACTCAATCAGAAGTGTAGGGTAATATTATGTGTAGCATTGTCATTATTTTTTTTTTGGATTCTATTTTACTTGGTTAGGAAGCTCAAAATAGAGCAGATAATGCAAACATACATCCAGAAGTATTCACTTCTGATATATTCTGAATTATGTAATTATATATCATATAGATATTTCTATCTACATGATATAAGAATAGGTATAGATAGATATACCATATCTATACAATATATAACTGTTTGGAAGTACATTTCTCTAGTGTTTTCAGTGCTATTCTCTGGATGTTGTTGTGTTCCTCTGCTTTCAATTTTAAATGCAAAATCTCCAGTGTGGGAGGAAAAGGCTCAGTGACACCTGCTTCTGGCTCTTGGATAAACTTCCAGTCCTGCCGTTGCCTGCTCTTGGACTCCCTATGTTTGTGCATTTGTAGTGTTACTGGGTTTGACTGTAGACCTGAAAGTCCATCTCAGAGGAAGCAAGAAAAGGTAGCGACATAGTCAAGTTTCTGGAAAACCCAAGTGTTTGATATACTTTGTGTAACACTCATCACTCAATTCCCCAACACTGCCCCCCAAACCAGAAAGCCACAATTTATTACAAAAATTTCTCAAGATGTTCAGGTCAGTAAGCAGGTTGGGAGATGACGTCTGCAGACACTGTGGCTCTGTTCCTGTGTAGGTGTGCACCCCTTCTGTGGTCCTTGTACTTGTATGTCAAGGTGTGTGGTGAACTCCTCAGGCTAACCTGCAAAAAACAGAACAGCTGCTTTGGTTATAGTGTGGCACCCTGGCACTACCCTGTTAACTGTCACCTGGCCACACAAAGGAAGTGTGCAGTGTGAGATTGTTATCTCTTTGGTGTCTGTGCTGTGGTTCCCCTGCCATCCTGCATTCAGTAGCTCTTCCTGCAGAGCTGTTTCTGACTGCTGATTTTTGGCTCTTTGGGACATTCCCAGCGCCCTGCCAGTGGCGGTACTTCATCTTTACTGATCACGGCCCTCATATTGGTCCTGTCCATTAACTGCTCTGTTTGTTCTGTCTCTTCTGGCTTATCAGCTTTCCAAGAGAACAGCTCTAACCACAGCCTTCCTTTTGTTTCTGTGATGAATTTGAGTGTACCGAGAGAAGCTGGTACTCTTCTGTATGGTTTTGTTAAACCCTCAGCTTTGAGGTCTGGAGGAGCTTTGGGAATTAGATCTTAAAACGGGTAAAGTTTATTCTTGGTAATTTGCTTGCATACTACACCAACTTATTATCAGCTTATTTCCAAAAGCAATAAGTTATGTACAACTACCTGGGCATTTTCGAGAAATGTAAAAAAAAAATCTATGAGATTATTTTAGTTTATAAAATCATTCCAGCAGGATCTTTTTAAAAAACATTATAGATAAAACACTCTTTTTCTTTTTCTGCATATGTTTTTCTTTACACAATGTAAACATCATAAATAATAGTTTGTAGTGATCCTTACTTTAATCTGAATGTAGAGCTATTTAAAACCTCAGATTTTAAAATCTTGAACTTAAGAAAACTACTGTGTCTGTGTAGCACATGGTTTTGGCAAAGATAATGCAAGTAATGTCTAATAACCACATGACTTCTTTTTGATCATGTTAAAACTCCAATTACACCTTTCAGTATAAATATACAGAAGCTTCGTCTAATAGTAATTTCCGCCTGCTGTAATTCATGGAAACTTCTGCCTATTGTGAATGCTTTGAAAACTATGTTTTAAGTGCTTATCCTAGACTAATATGCTCCACTTTAAATTATGGAAAGCATAGTTCAATTCACATTGAAAACTAAGACTTCAGGACTGGGAATATGGCTTAATGGAAGAGTGCTTGCCTAGCATGCATATAGCCTGTGGTTCGATTCCTCAGTGCCATATAAACAAAAATCCAGAAGCAGCTCAAGTGATAGAGTGCTAGCCTTGAGCAAAAGAAGCCCAGGGATAGTACCCAGGCTCTGAGGTCAAGTCCCAGGACTGGCCAAAAAAGGTTTGATAAATCTCTTACTGTGTGCTATTTATTGTACCCTTTCCATGACTGAACTGACTACTGTATGCCTTTTCCTCAAAAAGAGTTTCAGATTTGAATACATGTCATTTCAGTTGGGCATAAATATATAAAAAGGCTTAAAAGATGTGGTAGGCAAGGTGTGGTGGCTTTTATTTGTAATCCCAGTTACTTTTCAGGCAGAGATGAATAGGAAGGCTAGTGGTTTGAGACCAGCCCAGGAAAAAGGTTAATAAGATCCCATTTTATTAAGTCTACATGTATAATCAAAGTGACATGGGAGGATCAAATAGGAGAATCACAGTCCAAAGTTGGCCTGAGACAAAAAAAAAGTGAAAGACCTTGTTCAAAAAAATAACTAAAACATAAATTACTAGGGGCATGGCTCAGGAAGTAGAGGGCCTACTTAGCCCTGGTAGAATGTAAAAA